GCAGGCGGAGGAGCTGGAGGAGGGCGCTCTCCCGTCCGGGAGCTGGACATGGGCGCCGCCGAGAGAACCAGGGAGCCGGGCAGCCCGCGGCTCACCGAGGGTAACGGCCTGACCCCCGGCCGCGGTTCCCTTTCCCGCCTTCCTGACTCCTCTTAGGCAGGAGAGGACCCCAAGGCCCAACGGGGAGGGGGGCGGAACGCGGAGTGGGCCCTTGGATTCCAGCTTCGGCTGCGAGAGTGATGGAGGGGTGGGAGTCCGGTGGTGTACACGGTCGTGGGTGGGGTCCGAGTGTGTGTGTGTGTGTGTGTGTGTGTGTGTGTGTGTGTGTGTGTGTGTGTGTGTGTGGTGGGGGTGGGGGGGCGTGTTGGGTGTTCGCGCGCCCTTCTCAGTTGCACCCGCTACTCCCATTTCACCAAAACGCATTTTCACCAACCGGAGGATGGGCCCGCGGGTGGATGGGGAAGTTCGCAGGGCCGGGCTGCGGGAGGGGGTGCTGGCAGCCGCTGGGCCAGGCGGCAGGATTAAGGTTAGCATCTATCGCCGAGTTTGTGGGAGTCCCTTGCCTAGGCCCGAGGAAAATGAAAAAGAGAGGAAGGGGGTAGAGAGAGATTGGGATTTCACCCTCGAGTCGCCCCAGGTTTCGGGCCGCCGCTAAGAACCACTCTAACTCCGCGAAGACCCTGAATCCCTGAATCTTGGGGGCCAGAACTTCCCATTATCTTAGAGCTATGAAGGGAAAACGAAGCCAAGGCCGGCTAAGGTCCAGGCTGTGCTGTTTCTTTCGGTGGACACTTTAGGCTCTTTTTGTTTGTTTGTTTGTTTGTTTTTCGATATTTACTGCTTAGCATCATCCAGTACTCTTGCTTTGTGGTGGAATAATCTTTTGGTGCCAGCAAAGTGTTAGGCAAAGGCTTTTTCTAAATGGTGGAGTGTCCTGTACCAATTCAAAGGAGTTCAACAATAAAATTAATTTGGCGTTTGGTGCCTGCAGTAACTGGTGTGCTGCCATATTTTTCCAATTAAGAAAATATGTGACATGCGTAGAATCACATATTTAAGCAAGCAATTAAGTTGTTTATAATACGGTCTGTTCCTGTTTAGGCCAATAAGTGGAAATTTGGGGGCGAAATAGAGATTATATTAAGTCTATTAATCAACTGGAAATGTGGACATCTTTCGCTTTGAAGCCCCCAAAGTTTGAGAGGCTTCCACTATTGATGACATGAAATAAAAACAAAGCCTTCTCACTCATTTGGTGGAATCTGAAGGGTGTGTTTTGATATTTAAATTTCATTACAATATCAGTGGAAATATTTTCCTATTAACTTGGCTTGAGTTTGTGTTATAGTGTTTATCCACTTCCTAGAGGAAGGACAAATGTCCACAAAACGAAGTCTGAGAAGTAGAAATACAGGCAATACTTAAAATCACCATATCTAGAATGCCAGGCTGGGCTGACATCTAGAGGTTCTTCTTACCCCAGAGCGGGTACCAGCTACTTGTAAATTTGGAAAGTGATGGCATAACTGTCAGGTTGTTCAGTGCAGCCTCCCCTGCCTGAGTCCACAGCTCTAGGCCCTGGGTACACCAGTGTGCCAGACCACGAAGTTAAGGTCTGAATCCTGGGCGTGCGAAGTCCTAGGATTGCTGATTTCCAAGCTAAGAGGGAATATTAATTTCTCTGCAGGCCAGCTCTTCCGGAGATTATTTTTAACACCCATGCTGATCGGGATTCTGGGCTGGGAAGAACAGCAGAGCAGCCTCGATTATCCACACTCAGTGTTGGCACCTTAAAAACCCAAGACTCCGACTCAGGCTCAGAGACTGAAGGTTCCAGAGGGCAGCTTATGTTGATACCGATTACCCTGATCACAACCCCTTGGCCCATGTATATAAATACAGCCACATTCCTCTGGTGTCTCTGTACGCTCAGTCATGGAGCTCTTGTTTTGAAACGGAGGAAGGACAGGAAAGTGGCAACGGATGTGTGCAAACCCGAAGCAGAAAAGTGCATATTTTATTGAACATCGGAGCTGCTGGTTGCATGAAAAGCCTTTGAGCAACCAATAGAAACCGAGGATCGCGAATATTCTGCTTTAACCTGTTGATCTCTGTGGGTTTAAGCGTTTAGGGTCGAGTCTACCTTTCCAATAGGGAGGGAGAAGGAGCGAACAGAGGTAGTGGTCTGTTTCGCAGGCCACCGGAGGCTGGTTTTCCACCTCTGGCCTTGTGGCCCGGTGTGGGCGGTGAGCCCTCTAGGCCGCCAACATGGCGTGGGCGCCTCTGCTTAGGCTACCGGGACGCAGAGGGTCAGGGACTGCCTGGTTGCCTGTGGGCTGTGGTGGGGTTTGGCCCGAGCTCTGGGTCAGCACAGAGCTCCAGGGATTTGGCTCCCAGAGCCACGCAGCACCCGGGTCTTGTCCTCCCGCTTTGACCCTTCGGCCCAATTTTTCCCAAATTAGACCAGCAAGTTTGAAGAGACAAGAGAGCTGGCGGTGGTGGCCGGAGCTGGCTTGAGAACGGCTCAGCACTCTAGGAATAGCCAGTGTGAGAGGCCAGTCTCTGGCTTCGCAGCACGCTTCTGCCGGGGTTGCCTTCTGCAACCTGCAGTGTGCGGCGCTTTTGATTTCTGTGCGTGCGTGGGAGAGTGAATGCAAGAGAGGGTGAGTGAAATTGATTTGGTGATGGAGGGGGAGGGCAGGGGACAATGGGCTGGATAGTGAGGAGGTGAGCTGGGGCCACAGTTGCGGAAAGGATGAGTGAGTAAATGCCCACCTTGCCCGTGGGAGGCCACCCAGAGTTGATCTTGTCGCATCTCCAGGATCCTCTTCCTCGCAGCGGGTTGAGGAACTGGACAGAACTCCGGGAGGGGGCAGGATCTGCCATCCTTCTGGAAACAAATCTGGTGATGGGATTTGCTGTGTTGGTTTTTGTCCGTGTGTGTGTGTGTGTGTGTGTGTGTGTGTCTGTGTGTGTGTCTGTGTGTGCGCGTGGACATACGTGTGGCCCTGTTCGTGGTGCCCACTCCAGTATCCCCGGAGCTGAAGGATCGCAAAGAAGATGCGAAAGGGATGGAGGACGAAGGCCAGACCAAAATCAAGCAGAGGCGAAGTCGCACCAATTTCACCTTGGAACAACTCAATGAGCTGGAGAGGCTTTTTGACGAGACCCACTACCCGGACGCTTTCATGCGCGAAGAACTGAGCCAAAGACTGGGGCTGTCCGAAGCCCGAGTGCAGGTACCCGGCTGTGAGGAGGTCGAGGCTGGGCCCAGGGAGCAGAGGGGCATGACTGGGGTTGGAGAGTCGCTTGGCAGACACACGACGGGGCTGCGGGTTCAAGTGTCTGGAGTGAGGTGAAAAGGGAAGAGAGGTTTTATTTTCCAAAGTAGATCTCAGTCTTAAAGCCCCCCCCCCATCCCAACATATGTTCCCAGCAGAAGAAAGCTGTGCTGGGCAGGCTCCCAGAGTTTCTATAAACCACACCCCCCTCGCCTCACGATCCCTTTAATGTGGTTTAATCCTAATGGGCCTATTTTTATAAGCCTTAAAAAAATCCCACAGAAAACGTTTTATCTTCTGGATGCCTTAAAAGTAACAACGAATATTTTGTTCGCCTGAATTGGGTTTCCTTGAGGGTCTGCTCTGGGATTTAGGTTTGCCAAGCGGATATGCCAATTAGGTTTATAGACATACAGACTATAAAGAAAATTAGCAACTGTTAAGTGCAGAAATTTACAGTCTGCCATTAGCGGTCGATCTCAAACTGTGTGTTAAATAGTGGAGAAGTAAATGCGTTTTGGTCACTCTTTGTTTCCTCACTTAACCAGGAAAGAGAGCCTGAACCTACAGAAACTTGATTTTTAAACAGTTCACATACCTTAATATTGACATTTCTAAAGTCTGACCCCCAGAAAGTGCCAAACTCAATGAAGTTAGTATTACAGCAGAATTTCTTTACTGGTTATGGAGGTGAAAGTAACAACAAAACTAGGCTTCAAAGCATTTAAGGTAAAAAATTATATACATACACGCATATATATCCTTTTAGTTTTATGGAAAACGAACTTAAATGTTTCAGATTGTATTTCCGCTCAAATAATAAAATAGGAGAAAATGATGGTCATTATTTGTTTGAACACATGGAGCAGTTTTAGGCCTGAACATCTGCAGCTGTTACAAAGTATCACTGTAACAGATACTCCCTAGGTCTCTGGGCGCAGAGACCACCATCTGTAGTGAACTATGCAATTCTTATGGGGCTTCCCCGCATCTTGTAATAGGATCAGGACAAAAACAGAGCCATTACGTTGAAGGAGAAAAGTAATAATAGGCTCCCCTGGTCATCACAGCATCAACAGCAGAGCCTTCCTTTTTAAACCTCTCCTGCTTTGCTCTGTGTACTGAGATCTCTAGAGGCTCAGCAACCCCTTAAAGACGTGATGATAATTATTACAGTTGTGAGCATTAGTATCTCAGTTCCAACTCTTCTAGGGCAAAAAAGAGGCAAGAAGCCTCAGGCCATGTGAGGTACACAAAGGATGCCACCCTGGCATGAAATCTACCCTTCTTTTACACTAAATGGCAGGGGAATTTTTGAAGATTTACATCGACTATGACTCTTGCTTTGAAAAACAAGAAAAAGCTCTGAAGCAATATTTTACTTTCATGGTTTTTTAACATTAATTTTTGAATCAGTCAATATGCTGTATTATTGGAACAATGCTGTATTATTGGAGTATAAAAGCAAGCTTTACTTGAAATTTTTTTAAATCTGCCGTACTGCCTCTAAAAGTTGGCAAGTTTATCTAAGAAGGTAATATCTGGGAGAAGATAGTATCCAGTTACTTGATTCAGACCCCACCCCCATTTCACAGAATGCTCTTCTTTTCTCATAGTAAGTGAACTTTATTGCTGGTGTTTATTTTTTCATACTTTTGCTTAAATTTTGATCTATTTTCTGGACAATTCTCTACTACCCTTACTGCAAGCAGTGGCTTTCTCTATAGAAGCAAATTAGATTATCATGATAGTGGCACAGTTATTCTGCTACCGTGTTACACTCTGCTGCACAGAGGAACAGAGAAATTCTAAACTTCTTTGCAGTGATGGTTTTTTGACACTAATTACCTCTTCCCCTACTCTTATCCCCTCAACCCCCAGGAAAAAAAAAACCAACAACAAAACCATAGTCACTATTTGCTTTGGTGTATGGTTTTTCTTGAAGATGAAGTTAATTAATATTACAGGCTATTAATGAGCACATTCTTCTCAGGTTTTACTGGGCAAACATTTAAACCCATTATCACTTTGTATCAGGTATCAGGGAAAGTTTTAGGCCTTGGGGATTCTGTAATTGTGGAAACATAAAACCAGGACTATAGTAATTTATCAAGAAACAAATTTATCTTGCAAAAGTCTGTGAAATCTGTCTATTTTTGTTATTCATTTATATTTTTTCTTCAGAAATTGAGACTGTTATATATAATTCAAAAATTGCTTGTATATCTCCTAATCCTTGCCTAAAACACTGCTCTTTTTTTCCATAGTACTCTTGTAAATTAAAAAAAATGAGTCATAACATCTAGGTTTTATTTTTCCCTCCAATTTGTAGGTTTGGTTTCAAAATCGAAGAGCTAAATGTAGAAAACAAGAAAATCAACTTCATAAAGGTATGTTTCTCAAAGAACATTTTATACCCTAAGTAGAGAGAGTATTAGGGAATATTGTTATTATGAAGACAGAAAAAAACCTTCTCAAAGATAACTATAGTCCTTGTTTTAAAATCTGCTCTGAAAGCAGTTAATGAGAGTCCTAAAGTTTGGGAGTAAATTATATTGATTTTAATTATGGCAGCAGTTTAGAGAGGTAACAGTCCAATTCCAAAGAAATTAGCTCTATCTTGGTACCATTTGGAAACTTGGGAAACAGTGTTAGAAATGTTAACCTCATTTCATTGTGTTTTGTTCCCTCATTTTTAACAGGTGTCCTCATAGGGGCTGCCAGTCAATTTGAAGCTTGTAGAGTAGCACCCTACGTCAATGTAGGTGCTTTAAGGATGCCATTTCAGCAGGCAAGTACAGCCCAGTTTCAACCTGTTTTTAACTGTAAAAAAACTTGGATGTTTGCTTGAACTGTTGAACATCTCCTCTCTCTGTGCCCCAATGTGGGTATCTGTACAGTTGAATAATCAATTTTCAGATGACTTAGTGCACCCTCTCCCTTTTAAAAACCTACAGTGTCAGGGGCCTACATGCCTAGTCATTTCTGTCCTCATGGGAAACCCAAAGAGGCCTGAGGGCAGCAACCAGTCCTTTAAAAATGCACTAAAGATTGCACTTGGGGAGAGGAAGGAAAAGCCTTTTGATAAAGATTTTGTCAGATGCAATACAGAGGTTAGTCCTAAAGTGCTTCTAAGGCAACTCTCTAAAAATTTTTCTGGGTATTTTCTACCTCTTAGTCATATTAAATGTCTCTGACAAAAGATGAATGAATGAATGAATGAATGAATGAATGAATAAACAAACTTCTAACTCAGACTTGATTTTTTGATTTTTTAATGCTGCAAACAAAGCTTCATCTCTAGTAGAGAGAGAAGCGTCAGTCTTCAGGGAAGCCCTGCCTCTGCAATCTCTTTCTTAGCCATAAAGAACCTTTAAGACTACGTTGTAAAAGAACGGCCTGCAGCAATGATTTAATCCTGGGAAATCCCAGTGCTCTGAACTCCGCATTCTCCAAACCTAAGGGCGTAATCCTTCCTCAACCAGTGCCTGACCTTCCCCAACCAGTGCCTAACCCTACCCAATCTCATTGAGGACCCCTGCTTAGTAGAACTGTGAAATCATGAATTAGCTCTCAGTTGCCAGCGTCCTGGTCTGGGGAGACACCTGGGTGCGCCCATGTATTGAGGGTTAGTGTTAGGGAGATCTTAGCTCTCTTGGCACCACAGGATCCTGGTATCCTGATGCTAGGCTTTTGAAGCAAGAGAGAATGGCTGGAGAGAGAGGGGATCTTAAAAGGAGAGTCTTACTAGTCAGAAGGTGATCTGCAAGTCAGCAGCATCAGCACCACCTGGGAGATTGTTAGAAATGCAGGATCTCTGGCCCCAACCTAGATCTTCTGAATCAGAACCTGCATTTTAAGAAGATTCCAAAGTAATTTTAATAGCAGTAAAAGTTAAAAATACTAACAGTTGCGCCACTTCTAAGAAGATGCACCAGCTTCTCTAAGTAACATTTTAAAAGTTTTGTGGTTTGCTTATTGATATTTCAGTGCTTTAGTGATGGGGTATGAAAGTATATGACAGCATCAAGAGAGGAGGGTAAGGGCCCTAACCCTGTCTGTCCAATGTAGCATTGTTATTTTAAGGAGACCGATGTTTTAGCACAATAGCAGTGTCGCCCTCTGATGGGCCCAGCTCCCGAGGGGGCGGCCACATTTCTGCAGATGAGAGTCCCTGGGGCCCAGAGGGGGATAACCCGAGCTGAGCTAGTTTCAGAGACTCAGGGGCACCTGAGTATCCCTCTGGCGCTGCAGATTCAGTAACAGACTGAGAAGGTCAGCCAAACGCCCCTTTCCCGACCCCTGCCCCAGCCTTCCCCGGAGCCAAGCTGGACGCTTTTAATGCTCTGTTTCTATTCTGTTGTCACCCTAGGATAGTCATTGCAACGTGACGCCCTTGTCCTTTCAGGTTCAGGCGCAGCTGCAGCTGGACAGCGCCGTGGCGCACGCGCACCACCACCTGCACCCACACCTGGCCGCGCACGCGCCCTACATGATGTTCCCGGCGCCGCCCTTCGGACTGCCGCTCGCCACGCTGGCCGCGGACTCGGCCTCTGCCGCCTCGGTTGTGGCCGCTGCCGCCGCCGCCAAGACCACCAGCAAGAACTCCAGCATCGCGGATCTCAGACTGAAAGCCAAAAAGCATGCGGCTGCCCTGGGTCTGTGACGCCAACGCCAGCGCCAACGTCGCGCCTGCAGCTCGGCCCGAAGCTTGCACGCCCTCCGAGCCCCGCTGCTTCTCCGTTACCTGCTCCGGACTTCCGGAGCCGAACCTCTTTTTGCCCCGCTGATCTCCCCTTGTCCCCTTCCGCATCCTGGACTCGGAGGGCGGGACCAGGGATCCCACAAGGCACACCAGTTCCGTGGCTCCTAACCT